ACAAAGGGGAAAATGGATGGAAAAAGCACTACCACAGTCAGAAATGAACACTTCTGCAAGGGGAAGGGGTTGTTCTTCACCAACTTGCCCTTAAGCCTTTGAGAAACCTCTTAGAGCTGCCACAAAAACTCCATGAAGTTCTGCTGGATGTGTTACAAAGACCTGGGAGGGAAACACTTTAAAGAGAGCATTTCATTTTCCTCAATGCCATAACGAAATCAGTTCTTCCCCAAAGAAGATCTGTGGTCAATGTGTGAATTGAATTCTGTCCCTGACGTGTAAGAGATACTTTAACCCACAGGAAGGTCAATGCCTGACAAACCCACAGCTCTGGCAGTGCCAGCAGGACATCCACAGGAATGGGCAGTTGGATGGATATTTACCTTAAAATCCTGGTTTATAGGCAGAGTTGCAGATGGATTGGGATTCAATGCCTCTTACTCATTTTGAAGGTTGGTGAGGTTTGAAACAGGGGGGGAAAAAAAACAACCAACCCAACCCAATTATAATTTCTAGCTGTCAGGAAGGAATTCTATCAGCTCCATCCTCCAGAAGGAAATCCACACTGTCTAGCAGTAATCAGTCCCATTTGTGATCCTCCCAACAAAACACTTCTTGTCTGTGATTTGCACTCACTGATTTCAGACCCTCTGTGGATTGTAATGTCTAAACAGCCCTTTTATTTTTAAAGGCAGCTCAGAAACTCCTTGGCAGGGTCAGCACAGCTCTGAATCTGAAGCAAAACACACCAACTGCAACTTGTGTCTGGGCTGCAGAGACAGGACACTCACACCACTGTGTGTGTTCACTTCAGCTAAGAATAGCACATTAGCAAGAAATGTTTCAGCCTAACAAACATCATGTTTTAAAGGGAACTTTCAGCTTTTTTGGGGTCAATTGGATTGGCATGTAATGATCTCATGGTGTGGAAGTTGGAGAATGAAGCAGACTCACAGCAAAGCATGTGCATTTCCCACCACTCAGCTCCCAAACTTCATTATCATTTGAGAGAAGATAGTTCCAGGATTATTCCTAAAAGATAAATCATGGGAAATGAATTTTAACATATTCCAGGATGATGTCTGACCCTTGAAGCTCACCATTCACTGATTATGGAGTTTTGCAAGCAGGATGGCACTCAATTCCAGTCATTCCAGAACAGATACTACATGTCCCTCTTCTTCAACTCTGCCTCCCTGACAGCTGCTATTTCTCTGAAGGGTTTTAGTCTCATTTTCTAGAGATTCAGGGCTGCTATGCCCTCCCTTGTGCTAGCAACGTTATAAAACCGTGTTCAGTTTCAACTAAGATTCACACAGAGAGAAAATCCTTGAAGACAACAAGTTTTCAGAGGTCTTTTGGGAGAAAAAAACAGGCTGGAGAGGACAAGAGCTCCAAGTAACTTCCAAGAGCAATGGGCTCATAGCAGGACAGGCTGCAGAGCTTGGCTGTCATCTGCCTCCACTAAAAAACCCACGGGAAGGAGTGAAAGGCACTGGGAATATGGTGAGATGAAAAGAGCAAAGGTTCTGGAGGTCAGGGAGTAAAGGAGGGAAGTCACCTCTGTCAGCTCCAGGATGGGAGATGTGCAAGGATTGAGGTGTGCAAGGATTGAGGTGTGCAAGGATCACTGCCCTCTGTGAAGACAAAACACCAACACCTCTGATCCCATTCACAGATCTGTTCATGGCACGGGGGAGCACAGGGAGGTTTGTTGCACCACAGCTGCTCCACAGCCTCTGAGGATGCTGTTATGGATCAGTTGGGACCAGGGGAAGAGGTAGTTTGTGGATACCTTGTGAAACAGCATTAAATATCACACCTGATTTAGCATGACCAGGGAACGAAGCTGCAGCTCTGAACACGGACAGAGTTCATGTGTGAACACCCTCAGGTTTTTGGCCTCAGAGGCACCAGCAGAGAAAGGAGTGAAGCTCTACACGTGTGCAGCCAGCCAGGATTGTGACTCAGGGTGTATTCCAGCCCTTTCCCCCTCGTGCATACCTGGCCCAGGTGTCACGACCAGCGTTTGATCTTTGGGCTGTGTGAAGGAAGTTGTTGACTTTCGGTCCAAGTCCCAGTGAGCAGGTTCCACATCACAAAAACATCCCCCTATTATCTGACTGACACTAATTGGAGCTTTTCAAAGCTCTTCAGAAGAGAGGCCAAGGCCTGAATGTGGTGTTAAGAAGCCTAACTGCTGTGTGAATTCCCTGGAACAGGCACACGGATGTGGTGCTGCAGGAGACTTGTGGCATCTCACAAAACTCAGGTTTCAGATTCTAAGACTTCTGCAGTTCTCAACTTTCACCAGCATTCAAATTCATCTACATTAAAAGAAAATTAAATTGCCCTCCCCCACAAAAAGCAAACCACAACAAAGCAAACATCCTCCAGCAAACTATTCCCTTGCATCCATTAAAACTTGCCAAGTCAACACTGCAGTCCCCACTACCAACTGCACCAGTGGCTGCTCTGGGCTCCTCTGTTTTACACTAACAACAGCCAATTGTGGCCATGAATTGCATCACATGCCAACAATATATCATATCCCTTCCCAGCTGGTCTGTTGTGAATGGGAGGAAAAGTCCTCAGCAGCCACTGACAGCACCTCTACGAACTGTGAGTGTTTTCAGAGCTCCATCCACCAAGCTGGGATGGAGAAATAGCAAAAACAGCCCTAACAGTGGCATAGCACACGTGACCAGTTACAGATAGCCAAAGTCATACAACAGAATCATCAAGGTTGGAGGAGACCTCTGAGATCATCAAGTCCAACCCTTAACCTGTCACTGTTGTAACCCCTAAACCCTAACCCATATCCTCCAGCACCAGATCCTCTTAAACACCTCCAGGGATGGTAACTCCACCACCTCCCTGGGTAATTCCTTATCCCAGAGCCTAATGAACCCAAGGGTATTTGAAAAATCGGTACATTAACCAAATCATGACAGTTCTAAACTTATTTTAACAGATTAGATGGAAAAAGAAGTCACTGTTGTGGCCCAAGGAGCAGGAAATGCTGTTTCCAGCAGGCTGAACTCTGCCTGATGTAGCACTAAGAGGAGCAAACTGCACATTGTTTCCCTGTGTTCCTTAGCAAAGCAACAGCTAAATCAAAAGCATTCATTTCATTCTCCTTAGGATTCATAACTGATGTAAATAACAGAAAAGTGAACTCCTGTAAAGCACTAATAGCTCTCTAACAGTTACTGTCAAACAGAATCAGACTGCAAATAAGAACCTGCTGTAGGACACCTTTCAGTGCAGGGAGTTCATGATCTGTGAGTAGCAAATGACAAGGGATAATCATGAAAAGTACAGAGAACAGGGAGAACAAAGCTGAATCCTAGACATGCACAGAAAATGTGGCTGTGCATCCTGGAAGCTCCACTAAACCTCAGACTGTCTGATGTGCTGTAGCAGTCACATCTTTGGAGAACAAAAATGCTTTCCAACCATATAAATTCACCAACAGGCCAGTTTTTAATGATACCTACCAAAAGAGCAAGAAAATCCTTGAAGTTTCATTTAACATGCTTGAATCAACAGGGACCACCTATGAAACCTCCACACAGTATCTGAGTCTCCACTTAACCACTGCCAGTTACATGGGGACACTTTTAAACATAAATTAGGAGGATAATTAATCATTTCCACACAGAGAAGTAACAAGGTAACACCATACCCTGGTTTGAAAAGCTTCCTACTCTCTGCATTTCTATTCTGGCTCGTTTGTGTCAAGATTATAAAGCATATTTCAGCTTAAAAAGAGGGAGAGAGGAGGTGAAAAACTTCCATCCCTCCCTCTGGTCATTTCATGTGGATATTATTGGATTCAAATATTCAACCATTAAATCATTGCTATGGAATATGAACATTTTAAGAGGATTCCTGCATTGGGGAAAAAAGCTAAGATGACAAGGGCTGAAGGAAAAGTTACTGACAGTGACAAAATAAGCACTTGGATAACTGTTCAACTGAACACGAAATGGTGTGATTATGTGACAAGAGCAAGTTTTATTTAAATCAGCATCACAGGGATGAAAAGCATAAACAGAAAAGCAAAACTGGGTGACACACTACGTTTAGCATCTTCCTGTGACAAGCAAGGAGCAGTCAAAGAGTTGTTTGCTGTTCAGAACTGTATGTCAGAGGATGTGCAGAAGTTCCTGTTTTCATCAGCTGTGAATTCAACGTGGCAAATTGCTCCTCAGAGATGTCCACAGAACATTGCTGCTCCAACACAAAACTAGGGAATCTCATGCTCCTGTCCCACTGCATCCTTTGACAAAAGCAAGTTCACACCTCATACTCCCAACTTTAAACCAGACAAAACCCCCCAAATCCAGCTGGGAAAACAACAGGCTCATCTTTAAAGACAACTTACAAGTGAATACTCTGCTATTAAAACCAGGCTACCACAATATGTACAACAAGAATGTTGTGCCAACATTTTCATGATTATATTCTCATAGATCCCATATCAAAAGGTAAATGACTGGAGAAAACTACAGGAACTTTTAGAAACATATATTAATTGTACCAAGGGCCTAGTAGCTTTACAAAAGAAAAGCATTATTGCTCTTTTTGCTGTCAGAAAGTTAGAGAAAGTTTGAATTTCGGTGCTATATATTGAAAACTCTTTGTTATCTGATACACAAATGGATAGAAGTAGGCAGAGACTTCTCCCCTCACTCCTCCTGAGGACACAGCCAGAGTGATTATGGATGACCACATCCAACTGGGAGGAGAAAAGGAAAACAATCCAACATTTTAGAAGAGATCTGCTGCTACAACACAGATTCTGGTGACCTACCTCTTATTTAACAGAAGATGCAACTAACATAAGCTCATCAGTCATTAATAAGTTTATAAACAGCTCACAAACTGAGTAACTCCAGCTAACACCAGATTACAACAGAAGTTGTGTATCAGTTGTACTTTAAGCCTTGAGGGAGGAAGCAGCAGTGAGTGCTACAATGAGGCTCCTCACAGCTTCAGAAATAGTATGCTGTGTGAGTAACCCAGTTGGAACACTCCTCCTTGGAACGTTTTGCTGAGCTGTGTGTGGTAAAAATAGACTTGTAGGCCTCAGACTTCTCCTCACTGTCTGCAATGGACCTCTTCGTGGTAGTAGAAGAAGTCTTATTGACTTTTCCTGAGATAGATGAATTTCCATTGTCTGAGGGAGAAAAAGGGAGAGAATGAAGTATGAGTAACAGCTGGCACTGACAAAAGTACTACAATAAAGATGAAAAACAGTGTTTTAAAACCAACCTGTACAGAAATGAAGTGTGCACATTTTCAGAGCTATCACAAATTGTCCTCAACAGCTTTGAGAATTTAGACTCCAAACTCATTTAGAAATCTTGAGAGAGGAATTCTTTGCTGCTTGTGTAAATCCCTTGCACTGCAATTCAGTATTGACAACATTTATTCCTGTCAGTGACAAATGGCTCTGAGCTGCAGCCTTGAGACACATGAAAGCCTCCACCACCCTGCAGTATTGTTTAGAAATTAGCTATCAAGTGACAAAAGCCAAACTTGTGACAAGCCTTCCCCAGGGAACCTCTTTCCTCCCTTTATTCTTTGCAAAGCCATTTATGACCAATAACAATGGTCTGCATCACTTTGGATCTGTAGTAGGAAAATGCCCATCCCTCAGTTTCTGATATCATTTCTCCCAGTGGATTATATCTACCACCACACAAAACCCCATCATTTTCTTAGCAACTTCTCTCAAGTGGAAGGATGGTAGTTTGAAGAGTATGTGCCAAGTGCCTGGTGCAAAGCAACGAACGCAGAGGTTTGCAGAAACACAACATCCTCAGCTGAACTGAGGCACAAATCCTTCATTTAGCTGAGGCACAACAGCCTGTACAGAGCTGGTGAGAGCCTGTGTGAAATGCACTGCATGTGCTCTCAGGGACTGTATGTGCAACCCTAAATCCTCACAGATGAGATGCCTTTTTATGTTTGCACAATGTTGCTTGTAATGCCACCAAGAGCTGTCTGGAAAGCATTACCCACCCCTGGCTTTGAAGGGATGAATGTGTGTGTGTGCTGCAAGGCCAGAAACCTCAGGGTGCTGTGTTCACAAATTGATCCCTGTGCTACTGCCATTCCTCAGCCCATGGATTTGCCTTTATTTTCTCTCTCTCCTCTTCATCTCTGGACAACATAACTGCTGCCAGAAACACAAACCAACGACCTGACAGTTCAAAAAGCTTATTTTTTTTTTCTTTTATACCCTCAGAGAAGAAAAATTCATCAAACGTTCTTAGAATTATGAGGCTGCTAAACATCCAAGAGCAATTATAATCCTCTGGAATGACGTATTTTCCAGTCTATCCTGTATAAAAGCAGACAGCAGAGGGCAGGTCAGGCTTTGCTGATGGAATTTCTCTCAGCTTCTCCCACAGTTTCTCTACAATTCATCATTTAATCATTCTCAGACTCTTCAAATTGACTTTTCCTGTGGCTGCAATGTACAGGATTTAACACTACACACTCAGACTGACCTGAAAAATGTACCAATTCTTATAGTTCTGGATGAAAACAGTATAAATTGGAGATGAAATAACAGAATATATCTAGAATAAAGAGAGGACACATCCTTTGGCCTAAAGGGCTGCCAAGTTCACTCATAGCTCCAAGGCTGCTGGAGGTACATCAGTGTGTCCTGAGGTTATTTTCCACTGCTCCCAGGGACACACAGCAAATTAGCAGCTAAAATGGAAGATTAAAAGTCAAGTAATCAGGGATTTTGAACACATTTCATCAAAATAAACTGCCAGAACATATTTCCTGACCACTTGTACTTCAGAAAACTACTAATTCCCTTCACACTACCTCATAGCCAAGAAAAAAGATACACCAAAGCCTTGACTGGATCACTGCGTGAATAAGAATCTCTCATTCAAGTTGGTTCCTACCAACTTAAAGCAATATTGGAATGACAACAAAGCAAATCTCACTTGTTTGCCAGTGGAAAAAAATGCAATGTGGAGAAAAGTGGTTCTTTGATTAGTCACATGTACTTGCTAGTCATAAGCCTGAGCAGAGAGATCCTGTTGTCTCAGGCATTTGGTGAAAGCACAACAGTCCCTACTCCATGGACTATGTACTGGGAGTACAGAGGTTGGAGAGAAGATGGGACAAGGAAACTTGGTAGAATAAGGAAAACCAGACAAACAGAAGCCCTCACACACTTTCTGCAGTGTCATTTTTGTAGGTGTTACAGACTGCAGAGCAAAGCTCTGTTCACGTTTTTCACATGAAGATCAAACACCAACCTGAACTCTTGGTGAAGATAATCTGCCTCTTCTCTCCAGAGCTGGAACTGACACAATCCTTTCCATTCTTAGCTTTGGAGGGACCTGCAGAATCTGACAAAACAAAGAACAAAATAACTGAAATCATGAATCTTCATGACTCAGAAAGCAACACAGAATTTGGAGCTGTGACATTACCTTCAGAGGTCTCTGGCTGAGGAGCTGCTCCTGCTGACTTGGATTTCTTTGATTTCTGAAACAACACAAGCAGAAATCTGGTGATGTCCTGGAAGGATGTACAAATCCCTATTTGATAGAGACACAATTCCATGGTGTACACTTTTATGTCTTACACAGTGGAACTCTTCTTTCCACAACACCGATCCTCATGTTTGGTATTAGGGAATAACCTTGGGAACCTCACATTTACATTGAAGAAAATGAAGTTTCTGGAAAAAGACAAAGGTCCCTGGATTCAGTGTTTTGGTTTGCAGCCTCTGCAGGGATGTTTGTTACTACCAGGAAAGTTAACTGATACTCTGAATCTACACAGCAGGACAGTAAATTGCACACTAAAGAGGACACAGTTAACTGGAATGAATAAAGATGATTTTCCAATAAAAAATTCAGCAGAATCCTGCATCTCACATCCCCTTCATTTTATTGAGTTAATCACAAATCCCTCCTGGGTAACTTGCAGTGACTGAGCTCTTTGTTGCAGCATTGCTTGGGAAGAAAAGATGCAAATAGCTCATTCAAATTTTAAAGAAGCATCTGTGCAGCAGATTTTCCAAATTAATTCATGTTTGCCCAGATAAAAAAAAAACACAGAGAAAGACACAAACAACAGCAATAAGAAACCCATCCCTGGCGTTGATTACATAAATCTGATTACATAAATGCCAAGCTGAAAAGGAAAGATGTACCAAAACAGTCAACAGCATTACTATCACACAGGATGACTGGATACATTCAGAATGATGGATGTGTGGCAAGAAAGCTACACAAAGAAAACAAAGGTATTTAATTATGCTGTAAAAATTAGGAGAACTCATTGCTGTGAAGCAAAGGGTTAGGGAGTGAGAGGAAAAAATGCCACAGCAAATGCTGCTGCAAAGCTGAGCCAGGAGGTGGTGGCAGAGGATTGTGGTTCTGAAAGCAAACTTGGCTCTCCTGATGTCACAGAATCATGGAATGGTTTGGGCTGGAAAGGACCTAAGGATCATCCAGTCCCACCCCCTGCCATGGGCAGGGACACCTTCCCACTAGATCAGGGTGCTCCAAGTTCCATCCAACACTGTCCTTCTTCAGGGTACCTGAAAACCCTCTGCTCAGGGTGCTTCCACCTAGTTATTATGGGTGGATTTACAAGGAAAAGCTCCTTCCCAGGATCTGGCACCTGAATGACGAGGTGTTTGTAAACATATTTGAAGTGCAAGGTCCTACACTTGGGCCGTGGCAATCCCAGGCACCGCTACAGGTTGGGTGGGGAAGGAATTGAAACCAGCAGGAAGGAGAAATCCTAGGAGAATTCCTATGGATAACCCTCCTTCTGATGCACTGCCCAGGCCCAATGAGGCGACACTGGCAGAGATGACTGAAGACCTTATGATGAGAAGGAATCATATGCTCACTGACAAGTAAACAAGTATTTGTTTCAAAACAATCTAGGAAAACATTTGCATGCCATGTAATCCCACAGCACCCAAAATCCAGGGCAGTAACAGGGCTGAGATGATCCACATCCATCTCAAGTCTCACTTGCTGGAAGTGTCAGACAATTATTCAGCCAAGACTGTTTGCACCTTGGCCTGAGTTAGCCCTGAAGGTTTTGATTGCTTTGTCACCCTCCAGAGTAGCTATTCAGGAAAATAACAGGAATGCTGAAAAAATTCCTCTCTGCAGAACTGTTGCTTCCAGCTCAGTACCACAGAACAGCTAATACTGCACAGAACACACAGCAGAGCACAGAGCAGAGCTGCAGTGACTTTATTTCCATGGTATTTTGTCTGGTCAGACAAGGCCTCAACAGGAGGGTGGGAATTAGCATTGTACTAATTGCTTAGGACTATAAGAACCACAAAACAGGACGAAATTTCCACACAGTGGTCTTGGAGGATCAGGAATGCACAGACTGTTTCTGGCATTGGTCAACAGAGGACACTTGGAGATCAAAAGCCTAATAACCTGCCAGCAGGAACTCCAATCTGGAATTCAGGGATGCTGGAGCTCATGATTGAAATGGATTAATGTCAAGAAAAAAACCTGCAGTATCACTGGCATGGTGTTCATTGTAGCCCCAGCACTGAAATTCAGAGTACTGGTGTGCTGGTTTGAGCTGAAGCAGAGTTAACTTTCTTCACAGAGGCTAGTATGGGGCTATGTTTGGGTTTTGTGCAGAACACAGAGTTGATAATGCAGAGATGTTTTTTGTTATTGTTGAGCAGAGCTTACACAGAATCAAGGCCTGTGCTGCTTTCCATACTGCCACGCTGGCAAGGAAGTTGGGGATGCATGGGAGACTGGGAGGAGACACAGCGCGGACAGGTGACCCAAACTGACCAAAGGGATATTCCATACCATATGACATCATGCTCAGTATATAAGGTGGGAGGAAGAAGGAGGAAGGGGGGACATCTGGAGTGATGGCATCTGTCTTCCCAAGGAACCATTACGCGTGATGGGCCCTGCTCTCCTGGAGATGGCTAAACACCTCCTGTCTTCAGGAAGCAGTGAATTAATTCCTTGTTTTGCTTTCTTGTGTGTTCAGCTTTTGCTTTCTCTATTAAACTGTCTTTATCTCAACCCATGAGTTTTTGTAGCTTTTACCCTTCTGATTCACTCCCCCATCCCATTGGTGGGGGAGTGAGTGAGAGGCTGCATTGTGGTTCTTGGCTGCTGCTGGGGTTAAACCATGACAACTGAGCACTTGCTAGGCAGAAGTTTCAGTACATACAACTTCAATGTCACTGGCAAAAAACTACACACAGCCCCATTACCTGCAAAAACAGTGATTAAACACAACACAACTCACTGAGGAACTTCTTCCATCTGCACCAAGATGAGCAAATCCCAGAGCAGATTGCACTGCAGACAGGAATTCGGTCAATTTTGTGTGAAACAATATATAAAACATTACCTTTTCTAATTTACTTTTAAGCCTTCTCTCCTCCATTCTTTTCTTCAACACTTCCACATCTTCTTTATTCCCATTAAGGACAATCATATCTTCCTCTTGAAAGGGAACACCACACTTCATGGGGGGGAAAAAAAAGGACAAAATTAGTGGGTTTTCCAAGGTTTTTATGTTAGGATTAATACTGTGTTTAAGCTCTCCAATCCTTCTCTTTTCTGCTATGCCTTTTCCAGTAGTTCTTCCTCTTCAATACAGACTAATAAATCTTCTCACTTAGAATGTCAACGGGAAACTCTCAGTTGGTTTTACCTCTGAGCAAAATAATTCTGATTGACAACAAACAGGAGAATAAATACTCCAATTCCTAGTGACTCACAAACATTTGACAGCCACATTTGAACACAGCTCAGCTATCAATCTGTACAGCAAATTCTCCAAGAATTTCATGACAATGAGAATATTTTGTTCTTCCAAGCCTATTCCATGCAACAGGACTATGGAAATTGCATATTTGTTTCTTTATCTGTCTCTTATAAACAACTCTTAACTAATTCTTCTTTTTTTTTCCATTGTGAAAAGGTTTACAGTGGTTTTTTTGTTCATGGGTTCCTTGTTTTACTGGCATTAAACATTGACTAAAATAAAAATTGTCCCTGAGTAGAATCTACTCAATTTCTGAACTCCAAAGCACTAAAGTCCTTTCTGATTTATATCAGTTATGAATCCATTTGATTAGATCTAATCATTGTGCCATTCTGCTCTAGAATTTGTCTTTCAACTCAATGATAGGAGAAACAACAACTGATAGGAGAAGTTCCTTTGTACTGACTAGGACAACCCCAAAGGTTTTATTTCTCTATGTGTAGAAGGAATTTTTCTCCCCAACAGGGAGAAAAATTTACCATTTACCAGGGAATTTTTCTCGATAGGAAAACCTGTTTTGTTTGGGCTTTTTTTTTTTTCGCTTTCTTTTTTAAATGAGTATTCTATTTCTGCTGGCTCTGGGGATAAAAAGGGTCATAAAAGCAAATTATTCATTAACCTAACCTTGCTATCTCACTGTCCTTCATGTGATTTATCAAATACTCCCAAGTTCCAAAGTACTTTCATAAATTGATCTAGATAATGCATGTGCCTCGTGTGATCCCACGTTTGTGCCAGGGGTGAAGACACAAATGTTCCACTGTGCACATTTCCAATCATTTGGTGAACCAGCACACTGACTATGACTTTTCCTAAAATCTCAATTTCCTTTCCTTTTTGGCGGTCGGTTCGGGTTTTATTTTTTTGTGATTTTTGTTAAATCCAGCAGCTCTCTGTTAATCTGCAAGATTAGTTTATAATCTGCCTCTGTCATTGCTCTCCTCATTTCCAAACAAAGGTTTGGAAAGGTTACTCATGTATTTGCAGTAGGAATTGAACAAAGCAAAGGACACATGGGCAGTACTTTGTCCTCAGCCTGCTCAGTGCTGAGCACAGGTTCAAAATGAACCTCAACACGAGTGCTCAGAGATTCAGAAGGAGAAGAAAGGGTTAGAGAGAGGCATAGGAAGGAAGTCAAGGAGAAGAGTAAGTCCCACCCAAGAAATGGGTGAGGAGCCCAAATATTTCCATTGCTGCTCAATGAGGTAGTGTTAGAAACAGCAGCTTGGTATGACCTCAGACACCTGTGGAGGAGAAGTCTACAAAATGCAGACAGTCAGTCTTCACACTGGGGCAGGAGCCACTGGCAGCTGACACACATTCATTCCCAGTGAGCTGTTTCCCAACACAGCAGGGAAGACCAGCACCCTGCAGGGTTTTTAAATACATATTTTGTCATTAGGACTCCAGCATCAATAAATGTTTCGTTTGATAAAGCAAACAAACCCAGGTTCCCATCTGCAAAACACAGGTGGAACTGCTCTAAAATGGAAAGTGTTTACAACAAACTAGGAACTGAAGACAATGTTTTCTTTCTGTTCCCTGAAATGGATAATGTTTTGCCATGACAACAGTCAGATTCTATCACAGAGTCCATATCCTTCCAAACACACTTTAAACACAGCAAACTACAGGCACAGAACCATCTCCACCTTCCCAGGTTTCACTGATTCCTGTAGGTATGATCTGCTGTGGCATCAAACAAATGTCAGTTCTTCAATTCTGATTTTGTAAAAAGCTCACTGTCCCTTCAGGCAAAAAAAAAAGGAAAGATTTTTTCATCCCAGCATTTTGATAATGAGACAAAAAGCAGAAAGAAATTTCACTCTGGCAAACTGGGAAAGATTGTTCCTTCAGATGAAAGTCTTCTAGGGCAGAAGTTTGTTCTGTGATATCACAGGGTCCTGCAGCACCTTGTTTATCTTGGGACTTTAAACACATGAGAACTTGATGTAGTTCCTATCACCTTGAACAGAAGGCATTTCCTAAATGAGACTGAACTTGGAACTTGTTCTGGAATGGACAAAGGCATTAGAGAGCAACTTTCAGATCCCAATGCAAGACTCAATCTAATGGAAGAGTGAGATGTTGATAACTGAAGGAGATGCTGGGCAAGCAGCCTGAGTTTTGGCTAAAAGCTCTTTCAGGGTCCAATTATAAACAGTTTTGACCATGGTTCTGTATCTAAATGGCTTTAACATCAAGGAATTATTTAAAGGGGTTCAAGTATGATCAAAAAATCCTTATAAGTTTATTTACCCTATATATCCCACGTGTCTATATATACACAAATCAACTTCTCAAACAACCAAACCCAATCCAAAACCTGAAAACAATAAGATCAATAAAAGTATTATGAGCTTTAAAAGATAGCTTAGGTATGAATATAATCTGTTAAACTTTAACTGGGAAAGGAAATGGCAAAGTTCCTTCTCAAAGAATGAAGACCACCTAAAGTGCAAGTCATTTTAATATGGTAGAATAGTTCTTAAACCTCTTAAAGGATAAAATATAAGCAGTTTTTAAAAGAATAATGAAATATTAGTTAAAGATGATTTCCTGAATTCTAGTTCATGGTTTCTTAAGTTTCAGCTGCATAAGACAAAGGTTGTACCTTGTTTCCTGCTGTCAACCACTTCGACAGTGATTTTTTCTCACAGCATCGTAGATGTAGTTCCATCCATGACTAATCCAGTCTGAACATAATACAAATAAACAACAAATATGTCTTCCTACCTACATGTTTACTGCAGTGTTACAGCTTAGGAGAAACCTAAAACCTCTTTCCCAAATCATAACCAGTAACCTACTCCTGCACTGAGTCCTCCTAAGCATGACCATGACTGGGAAACGCATCCAGACATGAGAACTTTCCCAAAACAATTCCACCAGATTATGGGACATGTGTGGCCTCAACCTGACTGTGCCTCTTGCAACAGGTGTTCAGGAAGCAGAACAGACACAGGGACTGAACATCCATGGACCATGTCCCTGTTCATCTCCCAGTCACCCATGTTCATATCTTAAGGATTGCTGTGTCTTGTCACAGTTATCCAAAAATATGTTTTAAGAGAGAATTTTCCAGAGGTTTATTTGTTAAAAGTTGAGCAGTGTAAGAGTTGTGGAACATGATATTTTAAATTGTTACCCTACCCACACAAGCAATGGGGCAGAGAGTAAAGGACAACTCGGCGTTGTGGGAAATCTCCTACATATTCATTCACAGAAAGGAACTTTCACTCAGGAGTTGCAGCAACTTCCATAAAAACAGTCCAAGCCAAAGCCTCTATTGAGAGCTGCCCTTGAAGACAATGATCATTTTGAACTGCCATACCAGCTGCTGTGCCTTCATTTACCTGGAGGTTTTCTCTCTATTTATCTCTGACCAACATATTCTTTTTATCAGTCCAAAACACATCATCTTGTTTCTAGAACTTCAAACCTTCCTAACCCCTGCAACTTTCAGCTGCTAAATTTCACTTATTAAACTCCCAAAGAACCTTTGTACAGGCAGCAACAGCAAACATTCAATTTGTGAAGGAGACACTCATAGCAGCTTTCCAGGATCTGAAGGGGAGCTGGGGGGGACTGGAGTGAAAGGACAAGGAGCAAGAGGTATAAATTGAAATAGGGAAATTTAGATTGGCTATAAGGAAGATATTTTTTAATATGAGGGTGGTAAAACACTGGCACAGGTTGCCCAGGGAGGCTGTGGCTGCCCCAACCCTGGCAGTGTTCAAAGGTTGGATGAGCCTTGAGCAACCTGCTCTGGTGGGAGGTGTCCCTGCCCAGGGCAGGGGTTGGGGCTGGATGGTCTCTAAGCTCCATTCCAACCCCTTCACATGGTATAATACTATGATATTCCATTTACTATCTTTTAAGCTGCCAGCAATGCCCAGAGACAATTCTCTGCTACAGTTATTTACTACAAACTGGAAAGTTTCAGCAGGCAAACAGTTAAGCACTGGGGGGGGGGAGGAGGAGGAGGAGGGAGAGGGCTGGTTTCCTTTCCAGTGCTCCCATCCAGCTCAGTTAGCAGTGCAGAGGGGTAGAGGTTAAAGGCTCTGAGGTAAAACAATGATTTTTGATCGTCAGCAATGTACTCTGCAGATCTGAGCGTCTGATTCCCCAGCCCTTGCAGCTGCCTGAGTGGCACCAGGATGGGAAGTTTTCCCTGACTGCCAGGGGAGGTTTCTGCAGGCAGGGAGAGCATTGCTGCAGGAGAAATGTGCGAAGCCTTGGGGGAAGTCAGATGAAGTTGCAAAGGAAACATTCCCGTTAATGTTTAACCCCTTTCAGTTAGGAGAGCTGCAGGCAGGAGGAGGATGGAGAACACTGAATCC